GTCAGATATGTGCCTCGGTGTCTCCACCAGTAGAGGTGTCAGATATCTGCCTCTGTGTCTACACCATCACAGGTGTCAGATATGTGCCTCGGTGTCTACACCATCAGAGGTGTCAGATATGTGCCTCTGTGTCTACACCAGTAGAGGTGTCAGATATGTGCCTCTGTGTCTACACAGCAGAGGTGTCGGATATGTGCCTCGGTGTCTACACAGCAGTAGAGGTGTCAGATATCTGTGTCTGTGTCTACACAGTACAATGTCAGATATGTGCCTCGGTGTCTACACCAGTAGAGGTGTCAGATATCTGTGTCTGTGTCTACACAGTACAATGTCGAATATGTGCCTCGGTGTCTCCACCATCAGAGGTGTCAGATATGTGCCTCTGTGTCTACACCAGTAGAGGTGTCGGATATGTGCCTCGGTGTCTACACCAGTAGAGGTGTCAGATATGTGTGTCTGTGTCTACACCATCAGAGGTGTCAGATATGTGCCTCGGTGTCTACAGCAGTAGGAGGTGTCAGATATGTGCCTCTGTGTCTACACCAGTAGAGGTGTCAGATATGTGCCTCGGTGTCTACACCAGTAGAGGTGTCAGATATGTGTCTGTGTCTACACCAGTACAATGTCAGATATGTGCCTCGGTGTCTATACCATCAGAGGTGTCAGATGTGTGCCTCGGTGTCTACACCATCAGAGGTGTCAGATATGTGCCTCTGTGTCTACACCATCAGAGGTGTCAGATATGTGCCTCGGTGTCTACACCAGTAGAGGTGTCAGATATGTGCCTCGGTGTCTACAGCACAGTACAGGTGTCAGATATGTGCCTCTGTGTCTACACCAGTAGAGGTGTCAGATATGTGCCTCGGTGTCTACACCAGTAGAGGTGTCAGATATGTGCCTCGGTGTCTACACCAGTAGAGGTGTCAGATATGTGCCTCGGTGTCTACACCAGTAGAGGTGTCAGATATGTGCCTCGGTGTCTACACCAGTAGAGGTGTCAGATATGTGCCTCGGTGTCTATACCATCAGAGGTGTCAGATATGTGCCTCGGTGTCTACACCAGTAGAGGTGTCAGATATGTGCCTCTGTGTCTACACCAGTAGACAATGTCAGATATGTGCCCTCGGTGTCTACACCAGTAGAGGTGTCAGATATGTGTCTGTGTCTACACTTTACAGGGTGTCAGATATGTGCCTCTGTGTCTACACCAGTAGAGGTGTCAGATATGTGCCTCTGTGTCTACACCATCAGAGGTGTCAGATATGTGCCTCGGTGTCTACACCAGTCAGAGGTGTCAGATATGTGCCTCGGTGTCTACACCAGTAGAGGTGTCAGATATGTGCCTCTTTTTCAACACCAGTAGAGGTGTCAGATATGTGCCTCTTTTTCAACACCAGTAGAGGTGTCAGAAATGTGCCTCGGTGTCTACACCAGTAGAGGTGTCAGATATGTGCCTCGGTGTCTACACCAGTAGAGGTGTCAGATATGTGCCTCGGTGTCTACACCAGTAGAGGTGTCAGATATGTGCCTTGGTGTCTACACCAGTAGAGGTGTCAGATATGTGCCTCGGTGTCTCCACCAGTAGAGGTGTCAGATATCTGTGTCTGTGTCTACACTTTACAATGTCAGATATGTGCCTCAGTGTCTCCACCAGTAGAGGTGTCAGATATGTGCCTCGGTGTCTACACCAGTAGAGGTGTCAGATATGTGCCTCGGTGTCTACACCAGTGTAGGTGTCAGATATGTGCCTCGGTGTCTACACCAGTAGAGGTGTCAGATATGTACCTCGGTGTCTATACCAGTAGAAGTGTCAGATATGTGCCTCTTTGTCTACACCAGAAGAGGTGTGAGATATGTTCCTTGGTGTCTATACCAGTAGAGGTGTCGGATATGTGCCTCGGTGTCTCCACCAGTAGAGGTGTCAGATATGTACCTCTGTGTCTATACCAGTAGAGGTGTCAGATATGTGCCTCGGTGTCTCCACCAGTAGAGGTGTCAGATATCTGTGTCTGTGTCTACACTTTACAATGTCAGATATGTGCCTCGGTGTCTCCACCAGTAGAGGTGTCAGATATGTGCCTCGGTGTCTACACCAGTAGAGGTGTCAGATATGTGCCTCGGTGTCTACACGAGTAGAGGTGTCAGATATGTGCCTCGGTGTCTCCACCAGTAGAGGTGTCAGATATCTGTGTCTGTGTCTATACCCAGTAGAGGTGTCAGATATGTGCCTCGGTGTCTCCACCAGTAGAGGTGTCAGATATGTGCCTCGGTGTCTACACCAGTAGAGGTGTCGGATATGTGCCTCGGTGTCTCCACCAGTAGAGGTGTGAGATATGTGCCTCGGTGTCTACACCAGTAGAGGTGTCAGATATGTGCCTCGGTGTCTCCACCAGTAGAGGTGTCAGATATCTGTGTCTGTGTCTACACTTTACAATGTCAGATATGTGCCTCGGTGTCTCCACCAGTAGAGGTGTCAGATATGTGCCTCGGTGTCTACACCAGTAGAGGTGTCAGATATGTGCCTCGGTGTCTACACCAGTAGAGGTGTCAGATATGTGCCTCGGTGTCTACACCAGTAGAGGTGTCAGATATGTGCCTCGGTGTCTACACCAGTAGAGGTGTCAGATATGTGCCTCTTTGTCTACACCAGAAGAGGTGTGAGATATGTTCCTTGGTGTCTATACCAGTAGAGGTGTCGGATATGTGCCTCGGTGTCTCCACCAGTAGAGGTGTCAGATATGTACCTCTGTGTCTACACCAGTAGAGGTGTCAGATATGTGCCTCGGTGTCTACACCAGTAGAGGTGTCAGATATGTGCCTCGGTGTGTACACCAGTAGAGGTGTCAGATATCTGTGTCAGTGTCTATACTTTACAATGTCAGATATGTGCCTCTGTGTCTACACCAGTAGAGGTGTCAGATATGTGCCTCGGTGTCTCCACCAGTAGAGGTGTCAGATATGTGCCTCGGTGTCTACACCAGTAGAGGTGTCGGATATGTGCCTCGGTGTCTCCACCAGTAGAGGTGTCAGATATGTGCCTCTGTGTCTATACCAGTAGAGGTGTCAGATATGTGCCTCGGTGTCTATACCAGTAGAGGTGTCAGATATGTGCCTCGGTGTCTACACCAGTAGAGGTGTCAGATATCTGTGTCTGTGTCTACACAGTACAATGTCAGATATGTGCCTCGGTGTCTCCACCAGTAGAGGTGTCAGATATCTGTGTCTGTGTCTACACTTTACAATGTCAGATATGTGCCTCCGTGTCTACACCAGTAGAGGTGTCAGATATCTGTGTCTGTGTCTACACTTTACAATGTCAGATTTGTGCCTCGGTGTCTACACCAGTAGAGTTGTCAGATATCTGTGTCTGTGTCTACACCAGTACAGGTGTCAGATATGTGCCTCGGTGTCTCCACCAGTAGAGGTGTCAGATATGTGCCTCGGTGTGTACACCAGTAGAGGTGTCAGATATGTGCCTCGGTGTCTACACCAGTAGAGGTGTCAGATATGTGCCTCGGTGTCTACACCAGTAGAGGTGTCAGATATCTGTGTCTGTGTCTACACAGTACAATGTCAGATATGTGCCTCGGTGTCTCCACCAGTAGAGGTGTCAGATATCTGTGTCTGTGTCTACACTTTACAATGTCAGATATGTGCCTCCTTGTCTACACCAGTAGAGGTGTCAGATATCTGTGTCTGTGTCTACACTTTACAATGTCAGATTTGTGCCTCGGTGTCTACACCAGTAGAGTTGTCAGATATCTGTGTCTGTGTCTACACCGTACAATGTCAGATATGTGCCTCGGTGTCTACACCAGTAGAGGTGTCAGATATGTGCCTCGGTGTCTATACCAGTAGAGGTGTCAGATATGTGCCTCGGTGTCTACACCAGTAGAGGTGTCAGATATGTGCCTCAGTGTCTATGTGCCTCCTTGTCTACACCAGTAGAGGTGTCAGATATGTGTCTCGGTGTCTACACCTCGGAGGTCTACACCAGAGGTGTGCCTATCTGTGTCTGTGTCAGTAGAGGTGTCAGATATGTGCCTCGGTGTCTACACCAGTAGAGGTGTCAGATATGTACCTCGGTGTCTATACCAGTAGAGGTGTCAGATATGTCCCTCTTTGTCTACACCAGAAGAGGTGTGAGATATGTTCCTTGGTGTCTATACCAGTAGAGGTGTCGGATATGTCAGATATCTGTGTCTGTGTCTACACAGTACAATGTCAGATATGTGCCTCGGTGTCTCCACCAGTAGAGGTGTCAGATATGTGCCTCGGTGTCTACACTTTACAATGTCAGATATGTGCCTCCTTGTCTACACCAGTAGAGGTGTCAGATATCTGTGTCTGTGTCTACACTTTACAATGTCAGATTTGTGCCTCGGTGTCTACACCAGTAGAGTTGTCAGATATCTGTGTCTGTGTCTACACAGTACAATGTCAGATATGTGCCTCGGTGTCTACACCAGTAGAGGTGTCAGATATCTGTGTCTGGGTCTACACAGTACAATGTCAGATATGTGCCTCTGTGTCTACACCAGTAGAGGTGTCAGATATCTGTGTCTGGGTCTACACAGTACAATGTCAGATATGTGCCTCAGATATCTGTGTCGTGTCTACACCAGTAGAGGTGTCAGATATCTGTGTCTGTGTCTACACACAGTACAATGTCAGATATGTGCCTCGGTGTCTACACCAGTAGAGGTGTCAGATATCTGTGTCTGGGTCTACACAGTACAATGTCAGATATGTGCCTCGGTGTCTACACCAGTAGAGGTGTCAGATATCTGTGTCTGTGTCTACACAGTACAATGTCAGATATGTGCCTCGGTGTCTACACCAGTAGAGGTGTCAGATATCTGTGTCTGTGTCTACACAGTACAATGTCAGATATGTGCCTCGGTGTCTACACCAGTAGAGGTGTCAGATATCTGTGTCTGTGTCTACATCTGGAGAAAACGACACTAAGAATATTTAGATAAAGAGGAAAAGACCACAGAATGAGCAATGTTTTATTCACGAATTTATTTTGTTTAGGATAATAAACTGTTGAAAATATACAATATTTTGTTCATACATATTCGACAACATCAGCCTTAACTGCTTTACAATATATTGAAGCCAGTGAATTTCCAAATACCCATGACAAACCACTGACGTGGCAATACGTACAGTAAAATAGAATATTCCATAATATATGGCAATGGAAAATAGCAGGCAACGGAAACGACAGCTTTACTCGACACATTGATGCGAACAGGAACAGATATGGACATTGCCGGACAAATTGATGCTAACAGGAACAGATGTGGAGGCTATGGGCACATGGCTGCTTCTCTTGGTTAAATACAAATGTACTATGCCACGGTGAAATAAAAGTGGAGGTGTAAATTGTGATGCAACAATATGTAATGAGGAGTGCTTGTTTATATATTTAGGGGGGTGGGAAATGAACGCTGTTTTCGGGGGAGGGGTGGAGTCGAGGATGCAGATTTGAATATGAAGCTACAACTTTGAGAGGCCCGGGGTTGTTTAATGATTCTTGGGTGAAGCTGTCGTTATTCAAAGACAAACGAAGGAGGCATTGTGTTAAACCAGAATAAGGGACAAAACATACAGTCAACAGTACGAAACATATTTCGAATCTATGGCAAACGACATTAAGGTTTTGGAATAGTGTAGCAAGGCTTGAATCGGTTCTTGAAGATACAAACCGTGTCTGGTCGATAGATACCAGAGTGAGGTTTGGCAATATCGTGTCCATTGTGTCACCTAGTAGCCCAAGGAGACAGTCATGTGTGGCCATATTGTGTATCGTACCTTGTTAACACACTGTCTAGTACCTTGTTAACACACTGTCTAGTACCTTGTTAACACACTGTCTAGTGCCTTGTTAACACACTGTCTAGTACCTTGTTAACACACTGTCTAGTACCATGTTAACACACTGTCTAGTACCTTGTTAACACCCTGTCTAGTACCTCGTTAACACACTGTCTAGTACCTTGTTAACACACTGTCTAGTACCTTGTTAACACGCTGTCTAGTACCTTGTTAACACACTGTCTAGTACCTTGTTAACATCCTGTCTAGTACCTTGTTAACACACTGTCTAGTACCTTGTTAACACACTGTCTAGTACCTTGTTAACACGCTGTCTAGTACCTTGTTAACACACTGTCTAGTACCTTGTTAACACGCTGTCTAGTACCTTGTTAACACGCTGTCTAGTACCTTGTTAACACCCTGTCTAGTACCTTGTTAACACACTGTCTAGTACCTTGTTAACACCCTGTCTAGTACCTTGTTAACACATTGTCTAGTATCTTGTTAACTCTGTATTGTGACGTATATGTCCCTGTAAGGCGGCTGTAGAGGCATCGCGGCGGTCACAACCTGGCTGTAGATACATTCACCTGATCACAAACTGCGGGCTCCGAAGAAGCACACACATCTACGTCTATTTGATGTAAACTTAAAACACAAGAAGACATTGCCAATCAATTTCAAGACATCACATATACAGTCCCAGGAGAAGATCAGGCGGCAGACAGTATTTTCAATACCTACAGACAGTACTCAAAACGAATTATATCTTCCAACTATGCAGACAGTATGTTCAATACCTAGAGACTGTACGTTCAATACCTAGAGACTGTACGTTTAATATCTGCAGACAGTACGTTAAATACCTAGAGACTGTACGTTAAATACCTAGAGACTGTACGTTCAATACCTACAGTCTGTAAGTTCAATATCTGCAGCAGTACACACACACGGAAGACAGTACATTTGTACGGACTGTACACGCTGCCTGCAGACAATCCATCCAATATATGCAATATCAGAATGGGGGGGGCTTGAGGGTGTGAAGATTGACCCAGTCAACCAGACAACCAGCAAAAACGACAACAAAGAAACAAAAAGAAACTGTGAGCAAGTCTCATATCGGGAATGAATTAACGAAAATGTCTTAATTTAGTTCAAGACACTTTGGACAATACACCCTAAGACATTATGCACCAACCGACCCTTGTTTCATGTTGTAAGATTCGCGAATATGTAAACCCCACTTCAGCCATCCTAAGTATGAACAGGCCTTCTCTTCATGTGTTAATTAACGCACTTGGAATATCGACAATTCACAACCATGCAACGTACAACATCCGATATACATTGTATGTGTATGTTTAAACATTACGACAACACAGACAGCTAATCCAAACAGTGAAACACGTATGTTGAGAGGACAATAACGAGTGACCAGACATTCACCAACTGTTGCTGGTTGAACGAGGCGTTAGATACACGTTAAGGTGAGCTAAGATCAATCTACACACAATGAATGCTATATTACAAACAGACGTCGATTAGAAGAAACGTAACGTGGAAGAAGGCCATTGAAACAAGCGCGTCATCGCAGCCTTCACCAACTTTCAACAGCCTATACAGCCTCTACTATTGAAATGCGCTTGTTACAATGCAGAGGCAACCCATGGAAGATGTATTCTCAAAGGCACTTTCAATTAAAAAAAGCAGCCATAAACTTAGTAGGCCGTTGTATGGACGTCGCCATAGCAACAGACATCACCCTAGCAACATACAACACTAACAGAACCATAATGTACAGGTTCCCACGCTCAGTCCTGATGAGATGCTGCTATATTTACTGACAAGGACCTATCTACCATTGACACATACAAGTGTAAACAAGCTGCGCCCCAACACCAACTGAGCTCGCAACTTCAAAGGAATGACTTGGTTACCCGTGGCGTCACTGTTTAACCAAACCCAGTTAGGCTCCCAATGAGGTCACAGTTCATGCTGCAACCAACTGGATTTCTAAAGATGAGCTGTGAACATTGTACATACACGTATACACACCACGACACGTGACTGACTAGAAAATAATCTCGCTCTTAATTCAATATTTGTATAATCCTTATTTGCCCAAAGGCCGAATTCGAAAACGTATCACTTTCATACTACCACCATACATGTGTTACACTAACTCCCACCACAAACACCGTGACATTTTCAGCCCAAACCACCAAACACGTGTCACAGTCAACCTCAACCACCAAACACGTGTCACAGTCAACCCCAACCACCAACCACGTGTCACATTCAACCTCAACCACCAACCACGTGTCACATTCAACCTCAACCACCAACCACGTGTCACAGTCAACCTCAACCACAAAACACAAGTGTTCAGACCCAGCCATCAAACACGTGTCACATTGAACCTCAACATCAATTCAATCATCACACACACGTCTCATTCAACCATAACAATCAAGCACGTGCATTCAATTCCAACCATCAAGTACACGCCGGATTCAAGCACCAAAGTCATTCAACCGTAACCGCCAACTGATGTCATATTCAACCCTCGCCACCAAAGTTCTACTCTTGGTCGACGTGCTATAGCCACATTCAGCACGCACACATCAGTAGATTTCAATGCAGCTTATACATATTTGGCAATTCATTGCTTTGGGGATGTGAGGGATTCTGGCTGCGGCCTTCAGCACATAGAGAAACTCATCCCCAATAACGGAGAATTACATACAATCGTTCGCCTCGCAGGTTTTGCACTGCATTTCCCTCGGCTTCTGTGTCTGGCTCTAAATACCCATGTTACCAGGCGTATAATCCAATCAGAAGATTTCTAAACGATGGGGTGACCCGGATGTACACCATCCGGGATGTGATGAAGACAAGAAGGAGAGGTGAGTCAGAGAACCTATGGTGTCGCCTTCCATCACGCAAAATACATAGATGTCTAATTCAAGAGTCAAGTCACTCAAAGCGAAAGTGACTGAAGCGAAAGTTACGGCGGTGAATAGGCCCAGGTTATTCATTTTAACACATACATAATATTCTCATGTATCTACCACTTGCATGCATTAATTCCATAGCTATTGTCACATCCTACACCACAAACATATTGCTCGTTCTGTATCACATATATATATACCCACGCTCTACAAACCATACACATACTCGCCTTCTTAAACATATTCTCACATTCAAGCACACATATATAGATTCTCACATTCCAGAACACCTATCGATTCTCACATCCAATACCAAACACATATTCTCTCACTTCATACACATGCTCGCCTTCTACAACACGTACCAATTCCCACATTCCAGCACACTTACATGTTCTCACTTTCTACAACACGTACAGATTCTCACATGATTTTGTGACATGCTCTTTTTTGAATATTTTCGTCAGGAGTTGTTTGCTCTTGGAGTAACACCCTTCATCTTTGCCGTCCCTCCTCTTGGCGTTCACCTTCCGCTTCAGTCGGATCTGGCTCACGATGCCCACCAACAGTTCATCCACGTTGTGGTTGAGGACGACAGACGTCTCCGTGTACTTGCAGTCGTAGGTTTTGGCAACACTCTTGGCCTCTGAGAAAGAAAACCACAACAATTTGATTTTCCAACACAGTATGTGTATCTCGATTCTACCATAACCCCGTTATTGAAATTTAAAAAAAGACACATACTGTGTTGGAAAATCAGAGGTATATAACGTGATTATAACGTCTGCATGACTTTAATTGACCAATCACAATTCAGCATTTACTGAAGTCATGGTAGAATTTACAATCATATTCAGAAATAGCAAGACAAAGTTATATCAATCTTCGAAACAAGTAAAATAATAGAAAGTCAAGGGCTGTTCCTCAGAAAATCCCCGTGCTGAGGGCAGTTCTGTAGTAGATCCCCGGGATTTCTTGGAGAATGCCCGCGGAAATGCTTGAAGAGAAGACTGCCCGAGAACACAAACAAGGAGAACCTTGCGAGATAATAGAGTGACGTCACTGTAGGTTTATACATTCATTTCAATCAGGGATAACGTGGGGACAAACTGCAGAATGTCGAGAATACTCTCACCTTCTATTGAGACTTCACGGGTTCTAACCAGATCACATTTATTGGCTACGAGGATGATGGCCGTGTCCAGCTTATCCACGTGTCGAATCTCAAACAACAGGTCTGTGGCTTTCTCGAAGGTTCCCCGCTCGTCTATGCTGAAGACCGCCACGAAGGCGTCCACACCCCCCTCTGAGTGGCCGCGCCAGTCCTGCAAGTACCACATGTATGAGGAGAATTGGAAGGTGGGGGACACACACATACAGTGGCAAACTCTCAACACTCGAAAGTGACATGGACGTAGAATACTGCATAACGGTCTGGGTACAGGACTATAATGAACACGCCGGGTATTTTACACATGCACGTGTATGCTAGACACAAACAGCTGCCGGTAAGCAAAACCAAATGTCTCCCAGATGCACCTGGGTGATGTATCTGTGACAGTCTGGGTGATGTATCTGTGACAGTCTGGTGATGTATCTGCGACAGTCTGGGTGATGTATTTGTGATGGACTGGGTGATGTATCTGTGATGGACTGGGTGATGTATCTGTGACAGTCTGGGTGATGTATCTGTGATGGACTGGGTGATGTATCTGTGATGGACGGGGTGATGTATCTGTGATGGACTAGGTGATGTATCTGTGACAGTCTGGGTGATGTATCTGTGACAGTCTGGGTGATGTATCTGTGACAGTCTGGGTGATGTATCTGTGACAGTCTTGGTGATGTTTCTGTGATGGACTGGGTGATGTATCTGTGACAGTCTGGGTGATGTATCTGTGACAGCCTGGGTGATGTATCTGTGATGGACTGGGTGATGTATCTGTGATGGACGGGGTGATGTATCTGTGATGGACTAGGTGATGTATCTGTGACAGTCTGGGTGATGTATCTGTGACAGTCTGGGTGATGTATCTGTGACAGTCTGGGTGATGTATCTGTGACAGTCTGGGTGATGTTTCTGTGATGGACTGGGTGATGTATCTGTGACAGTCTGGGTGATGTATCTGTGACAGCCTGGGTGATGTATCTGTGATGGACTGGGTGATGTATCTGTGACAGTCTGGGTGATGTATCTGTGATGGACTGGGTGATGTATCTGTGACAGTCTGGGTGATGTATCTGTGATGGACGGGGTGATGTATCTGTGATGGACTGGGTGATGTATCTGTGACAGTCTGGGTGATGTATCTGTGACAGTCTGGGTAATGTATCTGTGATGGACGGGGTGATGTATCTGTGACAGTCTGGGTGATGTATCTGTGACAGTCTGGGTGATGTATCTGTGATGGACTGGGTGATGTATCTGTGACAGTCTGGGTGATGTATCTGTGATGGACTGGGTGATGTATCTGTGACAGTCTGGGTGATGTATCTGTGACAGTCTGGGTGATGTATCTGTGATGGACTGGGTGATGTATCTGTGACAGTCTGGGTGATGTATCTGTGACAGTCTGGGTGATGTATCTGTGATGGACGGGGTGATGTATCTGTGATGGACTGGGTGATGTGTCTGTGACAGGAATTAGGATGAAGGTTTTGTGAACCACAGACTGAAACCTGAAATCATACTGCAACACGACGTGTTGCTATAGCAACACGCTCGTGAAGATGAGATCTTGCACAAAATCTGTTTCTGACTTTTAGTTGTATATCAAGGTGAAATGGCTTGGTAAAAGTCTGATTATTTAAAATTTCAATTTTGAAATATGAAATACGTTGAGAATTATAGCCTTAAACTAAGTATATGTATTGTATGAACTTGACAGAAAATCGTATTCCAATTTCCGATTTCTATACTTGTCATGGAAGTGTACACAATTGCAAACTGATAATTATAAGCAAGTACGTTATGTTTGGGGCTACACTTACACGGATTGTAGAAATTGTGGGTGTCACATCCAGTCACATCCTGAGTTAAACCTTACACTCACATGCAGTCACATCCTGAGTTAAACCTTACACTCACATGCAGTCACATCCTGAGTTCCACCTTACTCTCACGTCCAGTCACATCCTGAGTTCCACCTTACACTCACATGCAGTCACATCCTGAGTTCCATCATACACTCACATCCAGTCACATCCTGAGTTCCACCTTACACTCACATGCAGTCACATCCTGGGTTACACCATACACTCACATCCATATGTTTTGCTCACTCCCAAGTCTACCGAAGATACGGCGTTTGTAATTGCCTCGTTTAAAGTTTGCATGCTGCTTGAAGCCAAGACTGACATTTCACGGCTAATCCCTGCCCGTGTTCTTGCAGTGAGCCAGGTATTAACTTTGGCCCCTGGCAGCTGGTAGTCTCAACCGGTCAGATTCTTGGATAAACAGCATCTCCACGTCTTCGTTCACATTCCCTAGCACACCATGGAGTTGACGGGCTGAACGTCAGTAAACCTGGAACCACCATGGGAAGTACGGGTCTCCGCGACAGCACATCACTTAATCCCAGGATCAGTCTTTCTATACAAAACATGATGTCCACCCAAGTGTTTCTGGAAAATGTCTGGTTATTACATTGCCACTTGCAGAACTCGACACTCGGAGTCTCGGTGCCATCAATAAGTGTGTTTCACGTGAAGTAGTTTCTAACTCGTCTATCTCCTGTATCACAGGTAACCTAAACTGGATGACTTCACCGAGTGTGTTCAATCAGTTCCTGGCCGCCCCCGTTTTACACTCCCATCAAGTGACCTCCTTGAAGTGATTCACCAGAGTAATATAATGAACACACAATAGTCGCTTGTCCATGAGTGGCATAGGCCAGAGGTATATAATGAGGTCTTCGAACGGTTGATTCACCCGATGAAGGACAGGCTCCGAAACGTTTATAAAAACAGAAAGTATAATCAATCAATTCTCGCCTTGATAACGTAAACGCTATATCATGTTCAGCATTGACCAGCGTCTACATGGGTAAACTTGCTGTATTACTGACAGGTAAACTTGCTGTATTACTGACAGGTAAACTTGCTGTATTACTGACAGGTAAACTTGTTGTATTACTGACAGGTAAACTTGCTGTATTACTGACAGGTAAACTTGCTGTATTACTGACAGGTAAACTTGCTGTATTACTGACGGGTAAACTTGCTGTATTACTGACGGGTAAACTTGCTGTATTACTGACGGGTAAACTTGCTGTATTACTGACGGGTAAACTTGCTGTATTACTGACGGGTAAACTTGCTGTATTACTGACGGGTAAACTTGCTGTATTACTGACAGGTAAACTTGCTGTATTACTGACGGCTGTGACGGGTAAACGTTGCTGTATTACTGACGGGTAAACTTGCTGTATTACTGACGGGTAAACGTTGCTGTATTACTGACGGGTAAACTTTGCTGTATTACTGACGGGTAAACTTGCTGTATTACTGACGGGTAAACTTGCTGTATTACTGACGGGTAACGTTGCTGTATTACTGACGGGGTAAACTTGCTGTATTACTGACAGGTAACGTTGCTGTGAACTTGCTGTATTACTGACAGGTAAACGTTGCTGTATTACTGACGGGTAAACTTGCTGTATTACTGACGGGTAAACTTGCTGTATTACTGACGGGTAAACGTTGCTGTATTACTGACAGGTAAACGTTGCTGTATTACTGACGGGTAACGTTGCTGTATTACTGACGGGTAACGTTGCTGTATTACTGACGTTGCTGTATTATTGACGGGTAAACTTGCTGTATTACTGACAGGTAAACTTGCTGTATTACTGACGGGTAACGTTGCTGTATTACTGACGGGTAACGTTGCTGTATTACTGACGGGTAAACGTTGCTGTATTACTGACGGGTAACGTTGCTGTATTACTGACGGGTAAACTTGCTGTATTACTGATTACTGGGTAAACTTGCTGTATTACTGACGGGTAAACTGTATTACTGACGGGTAAACTTGCTGTATTACTGACGGGTAAAAACTTGCTGTATAAACTTGCTGTATTACTGACGGGTAAACTTGCTGTATTACTGACAGGTAAACGTTGCTGTATTACTGACGGGTAACGTTGCTGTATTACTGACAGGGTAAACTTGCTGTATTACTGACGGGTAACGTTGCTGTATTACTGACAGGTAAACTTGCTGTATTACTGACGGGTAAACTTGCTGTATTACTGACGGGTAACGTTGCTGTATTACTGACGGGTAAACTTGCTGTATTACTGACGGGTAAACTTGCTGTATTACTGACGGGTAAACTTGCTGTAACGTTGCTGTATTACTGACGGGTAACGTTGCTGTATTACTGACAGGTAAACTTGCTGTATTACTGACGGGTAAACGTTGCTGTATTACTGACAGGTAAACGTTGCTGTATTACTGACGGGTAACGTTGCTGTATTACTGACGGGTAAACTTGCTGTATTACTGACGGGTAACGTTGCTGTATTACTGACGGGTAACGTTGCTGTATTACTGACGGGTAAACGTTGCTGTATTACTGACGGGTTACTGACGGGTAAACTTGCTGTATTACTGACGGGTAAACGTTGCTGTATTACTGACGGGTAAACTTGGTAACTTGCTGTATTACTGTAACAGGTGACGGTAAACGTTGCTGTATTACTGACGGGTAACGTTGCTGTATTACTGACAGGTAACGTTGCTGTATTACTGACAGACGGGTAACGTTGCTGTATTACTGACGGGTAAACGTTGCTGTATTACTGACAGAGTAAACGTTGCTGTGCTGTATTACTTGTAAACGTTGCTGTATTACTGATGAGGTAACGTTGCTGTATTACTGACGGGTAAACTTGCTGTATTACTGACGGGTAAACTTGCTGTATTACTGACAGGTAAACTTGCTGTAACGTTGCTGTATTACTGACAGGTAAACGTTGCTGTATTACTGACGGGTAACGTTGCTGACAGGTAAACTATTACTGACGGGTAACGTTGCTGTATTACTGACGGGTAACGTTGCTGTATTACTGACGGGTAACGTTGCTGTATTACTGACGGGTAACGTTGCTGTATTACTGACAGAGAACGTTGCTGTATTACTGACGGGAACGTTGCTGTATTACTGACAGGTAACGTTGCTGTATTACTGACGGGTAACCTTGCTGTATTACTGACGGTTCCTTTTGTAACGTTGCTGTATTACTGACGGGTCCCCATTGACTGTAACTCGACAGTGGTGACTGGACATCGTAGTGGTCACCCCACTGTTCTATAACAGAGGATGTATGATAAGTGACGACACCTTCTGTCACCCCACTGTTCTATAACAGAGGATGTATGATAAGTGACGACACCTTCTGTCACCCCACTGTTCTATAACAGAGGATGTATGATAAGTTCCGACACCTTCTGTCACCCCACTGTTCTATAACAGAGGATGTATGATAAGTTCCGACACCTTCTGTCACCCCACTGTTCTATAACAGAGGATGTATCTATAACAGAGGATGTATGAGTTCCGACACCTTCTGTCACCCCACTGTTCTATAACAGAGGATGTATGATAAGTTCCGACGACACCTTCTGTCACCCCACTGTTCTATAACTTGAGAGAGGATGTATGATAAGTGACGACACCTTCTGTCACCCCACTGTTCTATAACAGAGGATGTATGATAAGTGACGACACCTTCTGTCACCCCACTGTTCTATAACAGAGGATGTATGATAAGTTCCGACACCTTCTGTCACCCCACTGTTCTATAACAGAGGATGTATGATAAGTTCCGACACCTTCTGTCACCCCACTGTTCTATAACAGAGGATGTATGATAAGTGACGACACCTTCTGTCACCCCACTGTATCTATACCTTCTGTCACAGAGGATGTATGATAAGTTCCGACACCTTCTGTCACCCCACTGTTCTATAACAGAGGATGTATGATAAGTGACGACACCTTCTGTCACCCCACTGTTCTATAACAGAGGATGTATGATAAGTTCCGACACCTTCTGTCACCCGACACCTTCTGTCACCTATAACAGAGGATGTATGATAAGTTCCGACACCTTCTGTCACCCCACTGTTCTATAACAGAGGATGTATGATAAGTTCCGACACCTTCTGTCACCCCACTGTTCTATAACAGAGGATGTATGATAAGTCACCCCACTGTTCTATAACAGAGGATGTATGATAAACTGTTCTATAACAGAGGATGTGACGACACCTTCTGTCACCCCACTGTTCTATAACAGAGGATGTATGATAAGTTCCGACACCTTCTGTCACCCCACTGTTCTATAACAGAGGATGTATGATAAGTTCCGACACCTTCTGTCACCCCACTGTTCTATAACAGAGGATGTATGATAAGTTCCGACATCTTCTGTCACACCTACAGAGGATGTATGATAAGTTCCGACATCTTCTGTCACCCTACTGTTCTATAACAGAGGATGTATGATAAGTGACGACACCTGCTGTCACCCCACTGTTCTATAACAGAGGATGTATGATAAGTTCCGACATCTTCTGTCACCCCACTGTTCTATGACAGAGGATGTATGATAAGTTCCGTGTGTATATTTAGTGACTAAGCAACTGTGTTTTGGTTTTGTTATCTTCAGCATAAAATTGATTTTTGAAAGATCGTATTTGTTTCGCGAACGCCGAACGTTTATCTTGTCTACGCAAGTCAGTTCTGAATTTCCGACATTTCTGTAGGGTAGTAAAGCTAGTCACTATCTTTTCTTATACAGGTGATGGTAGTCTGTACTTACTGTTTCATCCGAGTCTGGGTCTAGAAAGTCTATTGTTGATTCTTCTCCATCTAGTAAAACTGACACAATTCTTTCCCTCTCCCCATCTGAAAATATATATCACATCATCATCATCATCATCATCATCATCATCATCATCATCATCATTGTCACCATCACCACCATCATCATCATCATCATCACCACCACCAGCAGCAGCAGCAGCATCATCTCCATCATCAGCATCATAATCATCTCCATCATCATCATCATCATAATTTCCATCATCATTCATCATTCGCTCACATAGAGTGTGAAACCTGCATGCGAGGGACATAACTCGGGTACCACTCTGTTGACTGTCTGCAGGTATCAGAACCTACTATGCGGATAGCTCTTTTTGGGTACATAGTTTGGTCACTTTGCAGATCCAGCAGACACAAAGGGGACATAACCCATGGTCCGTAGACATGTTCGATCCAGGGTACACAACGTCTTATCTATAAATCTCCAGTGTGTATGTGCCAGCGAACTATTTATTTCTCACATTCGTCCATTGTGTATTTAAAGCTAATGACGACGCCCAGTGCCCATTACGGTCGAGTATGTAGACGGCCATTATCACTTTAACGTTGACGGACAGCTTCGTGGCAGCAATGAGATATTAAGTACCATTATTCGCGCATTGTCATGTTATTGGACAGCTAAGTTGGTCAGGGAAAAGTGTAGCCCCAGTGTGTCTGAAGGTTACGTGCTATAGTTGCTAGTGTGAATGAATCTCCTGACATGGTGAAGTGAGGTGAGGTGAAATTGGGTTCAACGTCGTACTTGAGAATATTTCGCTCATATGACGACGTGCATGCGTGTGTATGTGTATGTGTGGCTGTTTGTACTTTCCTTTACCAGACTGAGGCTGGTTTTATAGTGCTAGCCCACTGAGATACCATGCCGCAGTGAAGCATGAATACCCCACTCAGACACATTATACTGACTCCGAGCCGACCAGTCCTTGATGTACCCAGTAATGCCGAGCGCCAGGAAGGGACCAACAAGTACCATATTTTAACGTCTTTTGGTATGACGCAGTCGGGGATCGAACCCGTGACCTTCCGCTCTCCGGGCGGACGCTCTTACCACTACACCACGGAGGCGGTCGACATGGTGAAGGGTGTGAAGAAGCTGTATCTTCCATGACGTCAGAAATCACGTGACATTCTACTGTTTAATTCTCCATTTGGGTAGAGAAACTGCGACCACCAACTTGCGCTCGAGGGACCAGTGTCGGTACCGAAACATCCCAGCTGTGGAATACAAACTGTACTCGAAGTCTTCAACAGGATACTGCCATTATTTCCATGTCTGTTTATCCCTCGAGCATTTCCAACAACAAAAGGAAAATCCAGATAACTTTCAAAGCACTTTAAACTCACAGCATCCAAGTTGTAATGAAATCACTCAGAAACCAGCCTGCAGACAACCGGTGGGGTTAATAGAATGTCGATATTCGACACCAGTGGATTAAGATTGAAGCATCACAATAATCCAAGCTCAGCAAGAAACCCGACCACGTTTGGATCTGATAATAGCCAATAATTAATGCATTCTGTTCTCTCGGTAGTAGGAGGTTAGTACATTAAGGCAATATCTCCCAACAGCGCCCGGAAGGAGATGAGATTTAGACGCGTGTAAACACTGATTGGTCATCAAAGACGCCAGTGATAGACTCGTGGTCCACAGTGGGCTAGTGGGACGGAACACGAGGAAGTACACTAGGAAGTGGGTCGCCCCATCTGGTGCAAGTCCCTCTATGAGAACCCAATATAACGATAACGTGCACTGATCCAGATGTGCAGGTACTGCTACACGTGCACTGATCCAGATATGCAGGTACTGCTACACGTGCACTGATCTAGATGTGCAGGTACTGCTACACGTGCACTGATCTAGATGTGCAGGTACTGCTACACGTGCACTGATCTAGATGTGCAGGTACTGCTACACGTGCACTGATCTAGATGTAGACGTACTGCCACACGTGCACTAATCTAGATGTGCAGGTACTGCTACACGTGCACTGATCCAGATGTGCAGGTACTGCTACACGTGCACTGATCTAGATGTGCTGGTACTGCTACACGTGCACTGATCTAGATGTAGACGTACTGCCACACGTGCACTGATCTAGATGTGCAGGTACTGCTACACGTGCACTGATCCAGATGTGCAGGTACTGCTACACGTGCACTGATCTAGATGTGCAGGTACTGCTACACGTGCACTGATCTAGATGTACAGGTACTGCTACACGTGCACTGATCCAGATGTGCAGGTACTGCTACGTGCACTCATCTAGATGTGCACTGACGTGCACTGATCTAGATGTGCAGGTACGTGCGCCACGTGCACTGATCCTAGTATACACGTGCACTGATCTAGATGTACGTACTGCTACACGTGCACTGATCTAGATGTACAGATGCACGGTACTGCTACACGTGCACTCATCTAGATATGCAGGTACTGCTACACGTGCACTGATCTAGATATACAGGTACTGCTACACGTGCACTGATCTAGATGTGCAGGTACTGCTACACGTGCACTGATCTAGATGTGCAGGTACTGCTACACGCACTGATCTAGATGTGCAGGTACTGCTACACGTGCACTGATCCAGATATACAGGTACTGCTACACGTGCACTGATCTAGATGTGCAGGTACTGCTACACGTGCACTGATCTAGATGTGCAGGTACTGAGTGTGTATGAGTCTTCATCATCTCTTTTGAACATGTCAGGAATATCAATGGTCATTGAAAACTATCTATTAACAAAACTTGTTCTGACCTTCTAATTTCTACAGCCCAAGAATCACACGATATTACACTGATGATAACCATGGAAGCTAACATCTGCTGCTGGGGATCAGTCCAAATGGCTGGGAATCATGGTGTGTACTCAGGTGTGGGTGACAGCATCCTGAACTGCAGGGCTAACACTGACCTATCACCGCCTTATAGAACAAATACCTGTACAAGTCGACCAATGAACACACCCTTCTCCGTGTCTAACAGAAGGCCACCTTCTGACAGAACTCACGATCAGATCATTGAATCGTGGCACTCCTATATCCCTGGAGATCACGAATGAACCGGGCCAGCGTGAACCAATCTGGCCGAGTCCACCTCCCCAACAGGCCCTGCGGTGCCAAGCAATTACACAAAACTGTTGCCAATATCTGCAAATATTGACCGCTTCAAACAACAGTGCAAATTAATTGCCAAATGAAAATATGTCAATAGCCTTAGCCACGTAACATTACTCTTGTGACCTCAAGGTTACACAGGGGAGATTTATTGGATCGTTTCATGATTCCACAAAACCAACAGAGCTGAGTGTCAGGTGCGTTCATACGTGTCAGAGGGGACTCAGAGTGGTGCTTGTCTTCCGTTGTGTGTACACTGTACACCTCGTGTGTTGTATATGTCTGTCTTCCGTTGTGTGTACACTGTACACCTCGTGTGTTGTATATGTCTGTCTAGCGTTGTGTGTACACTGTACACCTCGTGTGTTGTATGTCTGTCTTCCGGTGTGTGTACACTGTACACCCCGTGTGTTGTATATGTCTGTCTTCCGGTGTGTGTACACTGTACACCCCGTGTGTTGTATATGTCTGTCTTCCGTTGTGTGTACACTGTACACCTCGTGTGTTGTATGTCTGTCTTCCGGTGTGTGTACACTGTACACCCCGTGTGTTGTATATGTCTGTCTAGCGTTGTGTGTACACCTGTACACCCTCGTGTTGTATGTCTGTCTAGCCGTGTGTACACTGTACAACCTCGTGTGTTGTATGTCTGTCTTCCGTGTGTGTACACTGTACACCCTGTGTGTTGTATATGTCTGTCTTCCGTTGTGTGCAATATACCGTACACCCTGTGTGTTGTATATGTCTTCCGTTGCGTGTGTTGTACACTGTACATGTACACCCGTGTGTTGTATATGTCTGTCTCCGCGTTGTGTGTACACCGTACACCCTCGTGTGTTGTATATGTCTGTCTTCCGGTGTGTGTACACCGTACACCTCGTGTGTTGTATGTGTCTGTCTTCCGTTGTTGTGTACACCGTACACCCTCGTGTGTTGTATATGTCTGTGTGTTGTATATGTATATGTCTGTTCCGGTGTGTGTACACTGTACACCTCGTGTGTTGTATATATGTCTGTCTAGCGTTGTGTGTACACTGTACACCTCGTGTGTTGTATGTCTGTCTTCCGGTGTGTGTACACTGTACACCCCGTGTGTTGTATATGTCTGTCTTCCGGTGTGTGTACACCGTACACCCCGTGTGTTGTATATGTCTGTCTTCCGTTGTGTGTACACTGTACACCTCGTGTGTTGTATATGTCTGTCTTCCGTTGAGTGTACACCGTACACCTCGTGTGTTGTATATGTCTGTGTGTTGTATATGTCTGTCTTCCGGTGTGTGTACACTGTACACCTCGTGTGTTGTATATGTCTGTCTAGCGTTGTGTGTACACTGTACACCTCGTGTGTTGTATGTCTGTCTTCCGGTGTGTGTACACTGTACACCCGTGTGTTGTATATGTCTGTCTTCCGGTGTGTGTACACTGTACACCCCGTGTGTTGTATATGTCTGTCTTCCGGTGTGTGTACACTGTACACCTCGTGTGTTGTATATGTCTGTCTTCCGTTGTGTGTACACCGTACACCTCGTGTGTTGTATATGTCTGTCTTCCGTTGTGTGTACACCGTACTGTACCTCTGTGTGTTGTATATGTCTGTCTTCTGGTGGTGTGTGTACACCGTACACCCCGTGTGTTGTATATGTGTGTGTCAGTATATGTCTTCCGGTGTGTGTACACTGTACACCCCGTGTGTTGTATATGTCTGTCTTCCGGTGTGTGTACACTGTACACCCCGTGTGTTGTATATGTCTGTCTTCCGGTGTGTGTACACCGTACACCTCGTGTGTTGTATATGTATGTCTTCCGTTGTGTGTACACTGTACACCTCGTGTGTTGTATATGTCTGTCTTCCGTTGAGCGTACACCGTACACCTCGTGTGTTGTATATGTCTGTGTGTTGT